AACCTCCGATGTGTAGCCAGTCTGCCAGAAGTCGTGGGTCCCCGCTGGGCCCTCTACTGAGACTGCCGTCTGAGGGGGACAGTGCCGCAGGGCTGAGCCCTTGACGTGCGGGGTCTGACACCTCTGCAGGGAGACAGTGTCGAAAGGAGCGGCATTGTGGGCAATGCGGGAACTGACCGGGCGCGGAGAAGCGGACCACGCGGGGCGTGGGTGAAGGCCCACACGGCTGGTGGCAGCGGCGGCCTGGGGGCGCAGAGACAGTTCTCGCAGCCGGGAACCGCGGCTGTCGGCCACCACTGCCATCCCCATTCTGAAGTCCTGGTCAGCGCAACTGATCGAGCGAAAGGAGCCGAGGGCACATGGGCAGGACAGCGAGTCACGGTGGACATGGTCCTGTCCAGAGACGGTCAGGGCGATCGGTGAGGCTGCGAGGCCAATGACTGAGTTTGGAAAGGTGATCGATGAGAATCAATCTGATATCGACCTCGCCAATCATATATAAAATTAACTCCAAACGAAAAAGAAACGGAAACGGAAAACGTAAAACGAGGACGTGTCAGAAAAAGTACAAAGTATCTTTGGCATCTGAGACTCGACACATGTCTCACCCTCCACGCCGTAAGCCAAAGATCCTGAAACACCACGCTTCAGAGTTACAGAGGACAAGGGGAGGGCCCGTGTGACAGGGGAGGACGGGGGGAGGACGGGGTGAGGTTACAGAGGACAAGGGGAGGGCCCGTGTGACGAGGTGCTGTATGCCTGACAGCAGAGGGTCGCTGTAACCTACACAGATGACTGTGCACACAAACAAGTCATGCTGAGGAATCTCAGTGTGAACGAGAAACTGCACTGACGTCACCATCCCGGCTTTGAGACTGTGCGAAGGTGTCGCATGATTTCACCACCCGGGTTAACTGGGTAAAGGGCAGGTACACAGGATCTCTGTGTATTAGCGCTCGTAACTGCATTCGAACCTATGATGATCTCAAAATAAAGATCAATTACAAAAGATAAATTGCAAATCTACAAACTAGCAATAAACAATAGGAAGGTAAAATTCTGAACACACCACTTACAAGAGCATAAGAAAATACAAATTAATCGTGGTGTGAGACCTGTACCTGGAAAATGGAAACTATAACGTGGTTGAGAGAACCAAACGAAGGGTGAGGTGTGGCTTGTTCCCGGGCCCGAAACTCGGCGTGAGTGGTACATGTGAGTCGAGCAGCTGGAGTCTCACGAGGTCTGAGAAGAATGGCTCTCTGTGATGGCTGATCCATGGAGACCCCAGGTGACCCACACCGTAGGGCTGGGGCTCAACTCTGCCTGAGTCAAATTCTTGACAAAATAAACCAAGCTCTGACTGCAGGCTGCCCCACTACAGCGCTAAAATTGCTACAAACAGGCCGAGAAGGCGCCAAATTTGTCTACGAGTTATTTAACCAAGTATCCTAGACAAGCCTAACAATTTATTGGGGAAAAAGAGATAACTCCAATAACACCTTCAATCCACCAACAATACTATTCAAAATATCTACTCCAAAATAGTGAGATATGCAAGAAATCAGGAGAATCCATCAAGAGAAAAATCAATGAAACACCCATGAATGACGGAGATGATGGAACCTGTAGGCTGTGAATGTTAAAAACAGCTATTACAGCACTGCAAATATTTAAAGGAAATGTGAACATGGGAGAGGTGTAAGGTACAGACAGAGATGCCCGCAGCGAAGGCACGCACCCGAGCGGACTGGCAAACAGGAAAACCGCATCTGCGGTGACTTCTCGTGAGATGACACCAGCAGACCAGACACGACAGAGGAGACCGGACAACCTGACGACACACCAGAGTCTAAGCAAAATGAAGCACAGCAGAAAAAAGTCCGAGAAGTACGCAAACCGGGCCCAAGGGAACCTGGGGTCACCCGAAGCCATCTAACTTATCACCATAGTTGCAGTACCCACAACGGGAGGAAGGAAAAACATCCACCCGAAAAAGTAATGGCTGAAAAATGTGTTTGCCAAATTTTTTCCCAATTTGAAGAAAACGATAAAATCAGTGAACAGAAAAGCTTGATGAACTCCATGCAAGATAAAAAGACAAACCAGACCAAAGCACAACATAATCAAACTGAAAATCGGTGATAAAGAAAATCTTAGTGAAAGAAGAAAAGACAGTCCACGCACGCAGGCGCACACAGGTAACGACTACAGGTTTCTGGTTCGACACCACGCAAGCCAGGAGGCGATGGCACATCTGCAAACTGCTGGAGGAAAAAACTGGAGCCCTGCAGCCCGCGCGACAGTCTTCAAACATCTTCAGACAACGAAAAGCTGAGAAAATCAGTCACCAGCGGGAACGCGCCCCGAACATCGTTACCGACAGCTCTTCAGGCAGCCGGAAAACGGTAACACGTGGAAATTCCCCTACGCGAGGGATCAAGAGGACCGGAAACGAGAACCGTGTGAGGAAACGAGAGAATCTGCTTTCTCAGTACGACTTTTGGTTATAAGAAAATTGAATGCTTAAAGCCAACATAGCAACAATTTATACTGTGGCTTGTAACATTTGTAGAAGTAAAATCTGTAACAGTAACATAAAGGACAAAAGAGCAGAAATAGAATTAATGACGTTTATAGGTAATACATTCTACACAATGGCGAAATACGTATTTAAAGGCAGACTGATTAAAGGTGAACGCCGCGAGACCAAGAGCATACGACGCAAAAGAAGAAAACAGTAAAGCTAATAAGCCAACGGTGGAGACGATGAGGAAAAACAGTCATAAAAATCAGTCAGCTCTGAAGAAGGCAATCAGAGGGAAA